TTTCATAGATCACAGTTCTCTAGAATTGGTTAGATTAGAAAATTCTGCTGGTGGCGAGAAAAGTAAATTAGAAAAGGTCACAGAAACCGTTCTGTATAATGTGTGCATGATCCTGTTAATGTATATTAATGATGCAATATTTAAAAAGGCTTTAGATAAATTATGCACATTTATAACTCAACGTACACTCGAAATTAAAGTTGCTGGACAGTTGGCAGCTGGTTTGTGTCGAGTATTTGCCCAAGTTAATGGCAAAGAAACTTTGAAAACATTATTGCCTGTACTTTCACAAACTATCTTAGATATCACGGGCGAAAGTAATGATATTATTAAGGAAGAACATGTGGATGATCGTCTTTTATATGCAATGTTGCTTTTATCTGCAACTGTTACTACAACAGGGAACAATTTACTACCTTATATAGATACACTCACAACAGTTCTTGACCGTGTAGTGATTTTAAACTCTAGAGAAGGAAACAATTTAGCTTGTATATTATTAAGATCAGTCCTTCATTCATTATCTACTATGGTACCATGTCACTTTACATCTACTGATGAAATAAAGTACTGGGGTCAAGTTCTGGATATTAATAGTTTAGATGTCAAATGGTACATTCCTGATAAGAAAGAAATGGCTGCAATAAATCGAATATTTTTAAGATACCTTATTCCTGAAACAAGTAAATTAAAGACATATTGTAAACGCTTGATCACATTAAGGAGGTTAACTATTGATCACTTCTATATAATATTTAATGATAATATTCATTAAGAATAGGTGAAATAAAATTATTATATGATTTTAGAGAAGAGTTACTGACTAGCTTAAATATTGTAAGCACCATTATTGAAGGTTGTGAATCTGTTTTACCTATATATGAAGGGAAACCATTAGATTTAGTGAAATCGTCTTTAAAATGGCAACCTTTCAGGCCAACACTTGGTATGAAACATGAAATATTAATGCCTAATGGTAGTAACGTTAAACGTTACATTGGAACACTTATGAATAAATTGCAAGGTATAATTCTTGAAAATACAGAGGGCGATACAAAAAGTTTATTTGTTTTGATAAAGGTATCTGTTTAAATATACTATTTAGAGTAATAAGTTAATAAAGAATATTAAACACATTATAAAATTCTTTTATTCTAGATTTGGGGCTATCTCTTATTAGGACCTGCATCTGTTACAACTAATATTGTAAATTATAGAAATATAAAAAGAGCACACAAAATGATGAAGGACATGTTAGTAAGAAAAAAGGGAATAATGGGATCCTTTGTATTGCTATGTGCAGAAATTCAACACAAAACTCGTTCATATTTACAGTTTTTTAATTTAACTGAAGCTCATAAAAAAATAATGTTAAAATTATTTAGATTGGCTACTAGCAGGTACTCTGACGTGCGATGTCAAGCTCAACGCGTCCTCTTGCGGGCTTTCCATCATTTGACGTTGTCATCTAGAATCATTATTCCAAAATTACTTGATATATTGAGGGCGGATCCGGAAGCAGATCATGATGCGTATAAGGTAAGAACGACAACAATCATGACAAGCAACGTTTAATACAATTTTTTTTAATACTTCATTTTATCTTACATAGGGAGCTCTGAATATTTTAGTTGATTCTCAAGAAACAATTATTGAACATGATTGGAATAAATTGAGAGATTTATGGACAACTTTGGTACTTTCTAAACCATGTGAGAAATTATCTATAATTCGCTTGAAAGAAGATGTTGTGAAATATATAAGTAAACAATTTACAACGATCGCTATTACGTTTGAAATACCGAATACATGTTTGGAAATTGCAACAGCTTTATGGAAGACTAATCCTCAACCTACTTTACCTCAGCCCACAGAGGATGAAATTGTGGAAGGTTTAAAAATTGCACAAGCATTTAATGAAAGTAATTTAGCATCTTATAATGGTTTAATAAATGATCTCTTAAATGCCCTTTTGGAAAAGAATTTACATTGGAGACATCGTTTAATGGCAATAGACTTTATTCGACATTTAGTTCACCCAGAACAAATTTATCCACCAAAAGTAGTTCGTTACTTTGTAGGAGCATTAATACACGATTCATTAAGTGAAAGAAATATTGCTCTTCGTGTAGTTATATGTATGTTGCAACAACAAAAAAGAGAACACCCAAAGGTAAAGTACTGAAAAAATTTATTTTGCAAATATTTTTGGTATAACTTAAACACAAATTTTTTAATTTCAAGATAACTATTGATCCACCAACATCACTAGAACAAAATGAATCATCAGAAAACCAATCTGTGAATTTCGAACGAGGGCAAAGACCAGACAATGCTTGGCTCCAATATAATTTCGAAACTCGGCCCTTGACTGCAGAGCAATGGGATGAACCTAGATTTATTCATAAGCCATATCTAGGATATTACACATGGCCAAAAAAAATTGAAATGTATGCGCCGACACCTCAACAACCATGTCTAGATCCAAATGTACGAAAATTAACAGATCATGAAAAAGAAATCGATCTCTTTTTTAACGATTTGCAGAATATCAAAAAACTCATAAAATTTTATAGTCTTGAAACAAAAAAGGACAATGACAAATTCAGTTATTATAAATATCGTCTTTTTAAAGCCCTTTTTCGTAATCATGGGATAGTATTCCTAAAAAATTTTCTGCCACATTTACATGAGTTAGTGAAGGATAAACAAGAAAGTAGTCAAAGGTGTGCAGCCGAGATTATTGCGGGAATCATTAAGGGTTCAAAACATTGGCCATTTAATATGGTTTGTGAAATGTGGGATTCTTTATTACCGGTCATAAAACTTACCTTAATTAATATGACACCAGAAACTCTTGAGGACTGGGTCCTTTGTTTTTCCACAGCTCAACAATGTAGAGATCCAAATAGACAACATTGGTTACTGGAGCATTTGATGGAAGAAATTTTTGTTAGCGAATCAGAATCGTCTTTTATTGAATCGGGACGATTGTTTATTTTACAAACGACTCTTACTGAACAACTATGGCGGGTTTTGGAATTATTACAACGTTTGTTGAAACGGATAGAAGATAGATTATTAGAAAATCCATTTGAAAACGTGAGAGAACGGTTAAGTTCTGTTTTAGTGACGGTGTTCACAAGTTTAAGAACTTCAAACAATCAGTCGGTACCGCAAATACAAGATTTCTTAAATAAAATAGTGCCAAAATTACAACCTCTTGTAGATGAAAATGCAACGAAATTCGACAATGATGTAAAAAATCTGCCTGCACATGTATCTATTGTTAAATCGAACGATCTAAAAGAAATAGGAATAAATGAAGAAGAGAAAGAAAGAGCAATTCGATTACTTAAGACAATTTGTAAATGGATTGTAGATATGAATCGTCCATGGTATGGTTTACCGCCAGAATTGTATCAAATATTTCCAATCATCTATCAGATGGAAAATTGCGAAACAGATGAAGAATTGAAACAATCGTGTACATCTGCTTTAACAATATATGCACAAGCATTCACATTGCCGTGTAATATGCCAGTAGCTTTAGAAGCAGTAGAAAAAATGTCAAAGCATGTATCTTGGTGGACAAGATCTGCTTGTTTGGAATTCCTTCAAGCTTGGGTATTTTACAACATGTGTACATTTTTAAGTAATCCATCATGGGTTAATTCTGTTAAAGATATAGTTTTACGTTTATTAGAAGATGAACGAGTTGAAGTAAGAAAAACTGCTGGTGAATTACTTAGCGGATTAGTGCATTGTATGTTTATACCCGAATTAGAATCTTTATTGGTAAATATATTTGAAATATTTTTATGATAATTATTACCAGCAGTTATATTTATAGATTTTTTTCTAATTTTTCAGGATGAATTCAAGAGAAAAGCAAATATTAAATTATGTAAAAAAGAAGCTTTGAATAGTAATAAGGAAGAAACAAAAAAGAATCTAAAAGCTGATGCATTGCGTATTCGTCATGCAGCTATAATAGGAATGTGTGCATTTGTACAAGCTCATCCATATGATATACCAAAATACGTTCCTCCAATTTTTGAACATCTTCGTGCTCATATGAATGATCCACAACCTATACCAGTTAGTATCCAAAATAAATTTGAAACATGATACAATAATTCATTAAATAATAAAATTCTTCTGAGTTACAGATGACAATTAAAGAGACTTTGGATGATTTTAAAAGAACTCATAATGGATGGAGGGGTGTAGAGGAGTATATGCAACATTTCACAGAAGAGCAATTATCTGTATTGCAAGATTTAATAATGCCACCATCCTATTATGCCTAACAGAAAGTTAACATTTTTATTATATAGTAAAGAATTTTTTAGTAATAATAATATAAAAGTTGTGTACATGATATTTAACAAAAAATGTATTGGTATTTCGCTGTGAAAATATACAAGATATAATATAAAATATACAAAAGAAGCCATATTTGTTTATTTAAGACTGTCTAAATGTCAATGCAGCTTTAATATGAATTATTATACATAAGGTATATATGTTTCTGCTAAAACAACAAATTTGAATATTTTAATTAAGCTAGATATTAAATAAATGATAATTTATGAAGTTTCATGCAATAAATGGTAAATGCCACTATAATTTAAAAAGTTTAACTTACTGAAATTATTACTGACTACCTCTCAAATTAAATGTTTGTGAACTATTTTATGTTTATACCTTAATTAATATTTATATATATATATATATATATATATATATAAAACAAAAAAATAAATGTTATATCATGTAATAATGACTATATGTTCCTTAAGTCTAAAAAATATTTAAATATAGAATTTTTCTAGAGAATAGGTTAGACTACTAAAATAGGCTTGAGGCTTTATGGAAAATTCGAGTATGTATATATGATACAATAAAACTCATTTTCCATTTAGAAATCTAGTAACTTATTCTTTTAATTCCATTCATTTATATGTAATAGATAAATCAGGAAAAATATACGTCATATTCTTGTTTGTAACTTTCTTGAAATTGCAATTTTAAGTGTTTTCTAGACATGACATAGCATTTCTGATTAGACAATCACTTCTAAGTACTTGAAGTGGATAACGAATTTTCAGTAGCTATCTGATAGCAGTTGTATCGCCATGAATCGAATAGTGATATTTGGAGCTACAGGAAATACCGGACTATGTGCTTTAAATAGCGCTGTAAATAAGGGTATAGTCTTATCTACTATTTATCATTTTACTTTGTAATCTATTCTTTTATATATATTAAAAAGAGATTTTAATTATCGAAAATGTAATAAAGATATAAAATATTTTATAGACAGGTAATATCGTTATGATCAATCCTTGTATTTGGTTTTGTTTATACTCTCGTTCCGTTATATTCGCGAACGACGATTTTAATAAAAAATATAAAATAGCCAGAAAGGTTTTTGTAAAGATCTTAGACAAAGTACAAGCGTATAATATTTGAAAAATGCAAGTTATGCGCGAAACTAATTTTATTTTAATTATCTTAAAAAATTTAGGATTAAATATAAGAGCATTTGTAAGAGATGAAAGCAAAGTACCAACAAATTTAAAAGATAAAATTGAAATAGTTGTTGGAGATGTTACTAATGCAGAACAAGTTTCAAATGCAATATCTAATAGGGATGCAGTGGTTGTTGTGCTTGGCACACGGAATGATTTAGGTAAATATTCAATTTTATATGAAATATTAATTTTTCAGCCTACAATATGAGCTTAATATCCATTGCAAATTTTCATTTAGGTCCAACTACAGTATTGTCCAATGGTATGAAAAATATAATAGATGCTATGAAAGTGCACAATGTAGAAGTGGTATCTGTTTGTTTATCTGGTAAATTTTGCTAATCTAATTATTTACAACACATATTGATAATTTTCATGTATTGTTAATTAATATTTTGTTTCTTGCAGCATTTTTGTTTTACAAACCTGAAGCAGTGCCTAATATATTTAAAGATGTAAATGCAGATCACCAGCGAATGTTCGACCTTCTTAAAGAAAGTAAATTAAAATGGATTGCAATATTACCACCCCATTTTACAAGTATGTCATTATTTGTAATTTTAAAGAAATTATTTACATATATTTCACAATTACAGACAATCGTTTGTATATATATTTTGTCTATTTGCAGATGTACAAAGATCAAAATATGTAGTAAAGCATGATGAGTCTCCTGGTCGGACTATTTCCATATATGATTTAGGAGATTTTCTTATTGAAAGTCTTCAACAAGCAGAACATTATCAAAAAGTTTGTGGTATTGCTAACATTGCATAATATAACAAAAACTACATTTTGTAATGTGGTCAGAATTAAAAAATATTTTGGAGAATATTTTCAGCTTTTAGTCATATAAAAAAATAAATAGGTAATATGAAAAGGCACCTTCTAATTTGTACAAAATGTATTACATTGAAAGTATGCAGCTATTGAAAAATATTTGTGATTTTAAATATCTATTGGAATGGTTATAATTTCTTGTAAAATATGAGGATGTGTGCATGAGAAGTGTTTCTGTATTTAAAAGCAATTAAAAAAATAATTTTTTAGATAAATAAATAAATAATATACATTTGTGGAATATAAAAGAATCTTGAAAAAAATAAAACTGTTACTGTGATGATAATCTTTTTACCATATGTGTTCTGTGTGTTAAGATACCTAGATCATAGAACTTTGGCATCTGAAAGTTTGGCATTGGAGGTGGTGGTGGACCACAATATTGTGTACTTTTTTCTTTAAGCTTTGCTTTAGTAAATGCTGCACTAGAATATACAACATCATTGATGCCTGATGCTTTAAATGGATCACAGGTTTTATATCCATTTTTTAGGTAAAAAAGTTCTTGGCCTTTAGTTATTAAATATACATTTTTAATTCCTTTCTTTGCTACATGTTCCTCAGCTCCACGTAGTAGTCTAGATCCTAAACCCTGAGATCTACGCTGGTAGTCAATTATCACTAAGACATGAAATAGAAAATTAAATTTGGTTCTTGTTTGTACACTTTCATATTTTTCTCTCTGTTAAACTAATTATACATACCTGATTGTATAAAACAACTATGACGTAATCGAGGTATTAAAGATATTTTACAATGACCAAGGACTCTGTCCTCTTTGTCTATTAGTATAAGACATGTGGGAAACTCATCGCATGATACATTCAGAAATTTTAACCTATTTTACATTGAAGTTCATTTAATTGTTAAATAGGACTTTATTAAATTAAGTATTATGATATACCGTGCAGTTTCACTTCTTGGCCATTCAGAATTCAGTAATGTACAACAGTCTGGAATTAGGTCTGGTCTTTTATGAAGTGGTACTATTCTATATTCCTTTTCAATAGCAGTCATATCTTTTCTGTAATAATGAATCATGATAATATAATTTTTATGCAATTTAATTTAACTTTCTTAAGTTCGAAATATTTCAAAAAGTAGAATAGTAAAAGTTTCGCATTATTTTTGTGATAACAGTTATTAATAGAAATATTAAAAGAAATTGAAAAAATTAAAAGATTGTGATAAGATAATGGTAATGAAAAACATACAGAAATAGATTTCGCGATAATATTACGTAAAGTATCTATTTTTATAGCTATAGTCAGGACAATAATTTTCATATTTTCGGGGAAAGGAATTAAAAATAACTTGTCATGAAATATCAAAGGTAAAATTTCTTCATATTATAGAAGAAGTAACAATAAGAATTATTGTTTTATTTTTATATAAATTATGACGTGAAGATATCGAAGAAGAATCCATTAAGCAACTAGGAAGGTTAAATAATACATATTTCATATTAATATATGAGACAAAATTTGTTCGAGTAAAACGGACGGATGGTCGGAGATTGGGATCTATTAGACTGATTGACTCCTTTAGAGGGAAAAGCGTGCAACAACCTGTGATTGACAGGTATCGAAAAATAGAAGGTAACATATGCGAACAAGTGTAATAAATAGCTTGGTGCAGATGTCCTTACCGTATTTTTCTAACTGGATGATGAGAACTTGACACACAAGTTTAAAGGTCACTGTGCTTCACCTATATGTATCCCGTGTGGAAATAGCTTTGAGATTAATATCATCTTGAGCCAAGAATGATGCTTCTGTTGAACATATCCCCACTGTTACATAAAATTTTCGTAGCACCCAGTGGTATTATAGAGTACATCACCTCATTTCAAGTCATTCTTCCACTAATACGTCTTTTGTCTAATAATTATATCTTTACTTGTTAATCTTAATAGAAAGGAATTTTATACTATATATAAAATATCTGGGAAATACTTGTACTATTTTTAATTTCCAATTACATATTTTATTTTTTTACAAAAAGTTTTGTAATCTATTTTTTATTTTGTAAATTGCAATGTGATACATTATTGGGATGTTAGATAAGAAAAATTTCATATTTTTATTTGCCTTTTTATTTTATTTATTTTGCTTATTTATTTTATTTCTCTGTATAAAGTATCTCACTGGGACATGTCCATGACCCATTCTCTTTCGAACGCGAGTCTCGTTTTTTGCATTTGACCCATTTTTTTAAATAGCCTCTGTTCTACATATATATGTGAACAATGTCCTGCATTCTTTATTTCGACAGTGATGGTCAATAATTGTTTCTGAATGATACGATTTTAAGAAATTACAGAAAAAGTAATTCTTTTGCATTTATCACTTACGAAAAAAAATAAAATAAGTGTTTATGGAAATCACTATGTATGCATTTCTCATTTCTTACTTGTCATTATTTTGAATTTTAAATCTAAGGATTAATGAGATTTGAGAACCATTGTTGATCCCGCTAATTGTTTACTTGTATCATTCCTGTGTTTCTAATATCTTATTTTCAGTATTTAAGTCAAATAAGTAATGGTATTCATACAGATTATTTAGAAATATCTAGAATTACAAGTAATAATATTGCACATAAACTCCATTAACGGAAACGAGACGTATAAGCAATAGTACATTATATCAGTTGTGTGTATGAAACAAATATTTTAAATATTTAACAAACATATAATTCATAACATAAAAATGTTGTCTGCAAGACCTCCTGTAACAGGTAATAACATACGGAAATAAAGTTTATTAATACAGTTAATATAATAAACTTGTTTATGTTCTTCCTAACCTCCTACTTTTTATTTCATACAATTAATAGAAAATCCTTTGGGACTTTCTTGGCATGATAGTGCATGGATTCCTGTATTAAATCCAAACAATATAATGGACTATTTTTCTGAAAGAAGTAATCCTTTTTATGACAGAACATGTAATAATGAAATTGTCAAAATGCAGCGTTTAAGTCCTGATCAGTTACAGTAAGTAATATGAGTAAAAGCATTGTTTAAATGTAAAATATCAATAATTAAATATTTATTTTTAGAAATATGACTGGCCTTGAATATATTCTTTTACATGTTCAAGCACCTATTTTGTACGTGATCAGGAAGCAACACCGTCATACTCCTACTTTAGCAGCGCCACTTGCAGACTATTATATCATTGCAGGTGTTGTGTATCAAGCTCCTGATTTGGCATCGGTTGTGAGCTCCAGATTGGTACTTAAAATTTATTAAAAATGAGTATTATCAGGACGTATTGTTAATTTATGGAACTTCGTTTTATAGTTATCTACAGTACATCACTTACAATCTGCTTTTGAAGAAGCTAGTTCATGTTCAAGATATCATCCTAGCAAGGGCTACTATTGGGATTTCAAAAATGGGAAAGCTATGGCAGCAAAGAAAGAAACACCTGTTCGTGAAGAACCAAGTTCTCTATTTCAAAGACAAAGGGTGGACATGTTACTTGCTGAACTTACACGGAAATTCCCATTGCCTGTTCCAAAGCCAGTGCACCAAGCTATAGAACCTTGTACATACTTATTTTGGTAGTTTCTTTTGAAATATTTTAAGCATCAAAGTAAAATTAATTTGTTAATCTTTTAGCAATGGAAATTAAACAAGAAGTAAAAACAGAAAAGAAGGACATGAAACCACCACCAGAAAAGAAACCAAAAGTTAATTAATAAGGGTTTATAATGGTTTAATAAGAATATAAGACCAATAATGTTCTATGTATATATTGTATTTTATTTCAATTTTTATTTTATGAAATAGGTATTTAGCATTATTAATTATATCTTTTTCGTTAAGTAAAAAGTGTGATGAACTGGTGTGCATGTGAATATATTTTGGCAAACTACTGAATTTGTACGAAATTAAAAATAAAAAATAGAAAATATTTGTCACTTGGTAGTATTTTATTTTTTCCTGCACCATGGACAATCTGGATTATCCACTTCTTCTTCTACATTTATTTTTATCCGTGGAGTCTCTTTCTTCTTAATCTTCCCTTTTTTATTAAATTTACGACAAAAGGTAGAATCTGGACATTTAATTTTTTCTTTCTCGGATGATGGATGACGGAAAAATCCTTGATGTTTATATGCTTGCATTAACCAAAAATATCTTGATGTAGCAATTGATCTGATCTATAAAATTACATTGTGTTGTTATAACTATTGAATGAAATTGAGAAGTATTTTGTTACAAACTTTCATATTAATTTGTATAATCGATTTAATATGATGCATTACGTTAAATTTTCAATTAAGGAAATGGTTATGAAAATATTTTAGGACCTCAAAGTGATATTAATAAAATATACTAGTGTTTCAACTATTTTTTTAGAGTTTCATTTGTAATTTTCTATTACGAAGAAGAATGGCACGTAAGGTAAAAAATGATATGTGACGGAAATACGTGTCCTGAGAAATACGTAGATGAAACATTTTTCGGACAGGGTACCTGTGATTCTGACAAAGATGAATTTATACAAAATTTGAAACACGAAAAGTGCAAAATAATTCAGTTAATTCGTCGACAAATGCGTAAATTTTATGATACTCAAGTAACATTAAATATCAATGAAAATATTTAATTTGGGATTTACGCTCGTGTATCTTAGAGGAATAGTATGATCTTTTTTTTCCCAGTACAAAGCATCTTCAATATCAAATGGTTGGCAAACAAGATACATGCAAGAATCGCCAAATATGTCACATATAATAAAGCGCGAAGTGAATATAACAGAAGATACGAATAAAGAAGCAACTGATGTACCGAGAAGGAGTACAATGTCAGATGGTCAAGTATTGTGTCTGCGTACCCTGGGAAAAATTCGAAAAAATATTTGTATGACAGTTTTAATTGCTGGAATCATCATACTGATGGCAGTGATTTACGGCATTTATTTCCGCGCTTATCTTTGCAATAATGGGAAATCTTGCATCACATCCCTTCAGTACACTCACGTTAAACATGCATTATTTTAAGTATGCACGACAAACACGAGAGATTAAGATAAATCGTTGGAGAAGATAATGGATATTGTTGCGATTGTGGGTAAATTTCTCAACAAAATAAGCAAACCATCTAAGACTTGACACAAAATATATTAAACTTGGAATAATACACCATGTGTAGCGTTTAGTTAGTATGCAACTAGTCTTGACGATTTCTAGATTTTTTTTCAGTTCCATAGATTTTTCAATGATGAGACATTTGACTTGTAAGCAGTGTTAACACGTCGTCATGTTCGTACTATGCCATTCCTTCGTGCAATGTACACCAACTCGACGAGGAGACTAGTTGCAGTTCGTTTGACGTTCATCCTCAGTACCCAACATAACAATTATACGGTACGATTGTTTTTTAGGCTTCGAAATATCGGTCCTCTTGATATGTTTCGCTCATTCGTTCTCTCAGATACTTTTTACACACAACTTTCTGGACCGGGTATAGAGTTGGCGATAATGATCTCTTTCATTAAATTACGATCAGCTTTAAAACTAATAGGTTCCCAAGACTTTGTAGAGAATGGATTCAACTATAAAAAAAAAAAGAAAAAAGAAATGAAAAAAGAAGGGAAAAAGATTTACAAATTACATTAAAAATATTAATTATTACTAATATTATTATATAGTACTACTCACGCTGCATCTGTTACTTTGAAGTCCTTGCTTATGAATATCGTACGGTGCAAACAGCGTATCTGGTCGTACAGGTAAAAATAATTGTGGTTCGCGTTTTATCTTTTCCTGGTCTAAAATCAAACTCACTACATTATCCTATCCATACATTATGCATATTATGCATACATTATAACAGAAATAAAAGCGGATAAACTTTTACCTTGTGGCGACTGTATGATATCTGGCTGATTGTTGAGTGCGTAGTCAGTGACCTGTTTCAACGTGTACTCGACAAAATAAGTATGATCCCCGTGTGTAACATCAAGCATCGAATTATTCCTCGAATCTGGAGGAGTAATTATCGGTTGTTTCATGTAAGGCTCAATATGAACCGGAGAAGTGGTACCTCTGCGTCGGTACATCACCGACATTACTAAAAGTGCAGTAATGCCAAGCGCCATGAAGCCGGTAAGAAATAGAATAATTGGAACCATGCTTACTCCCCTATCTAAAACAACGAATTACCAATAACACTTGATACATTCAATATATGATATTTCTTTATCCTTTTGAATTGCTAGGAAACGCTGAAATTATCTGAATTATCAGATTAAAAGATTACTTTCCAAGTACAATTTCTTACCCGTGTGCTTATCGGAGTCCTTTAGCATTATATCCTCTAACAGACTCACTTCGCTTCTTCCTTTCGCGTTTACGGCATAAGTAACGAGATAAAAATGTGTCGCTGGTAGAAGATCCGCTACAGCAATCCTAAATACTGGTACGTCTGCGGACACACTGGATGCATTCACTCTTAAATTACCAGTAAGAACTTCGTACGCTTCTAATCGAAACTCTTGCCTTAATCCACCATCGTATCCCGGCACACATTCCACTTCTAGGATCTCGGAACTTTGATTCAAGGATGCTTTTATCGTACAATTGTTCAGAGGATTTGGTTTCACTGGGAATGTAAATCAAATTGGTTTCTTGTCTGTACGATACAGACATCTGTTATGAGTTATTTATACATAGAAGTTACCTGCTGGAATGATTTGATAGATACAAGGCGCTTCCTGCTTTCCTATTATGTTTCTACCCCAACACGTTAGAGCTCCGTAATCTCTTTCAGACACTGGCGTGTAAACAAGTTCGCTCATTGTTCCGTTATTACCATCGAATTTCGCTGGTGCAACTTCGAAATTCTCGCCGCTATTGTTGAACTCCCAGACGAATTCTACCTCGTTAGGATCAGCGTCCACCTCGCATCGAACTTTTACCGATTCTTCTAACGATGCTCCGATGATGGATACCTCTTTCGCTTTGCACACTGGTGCGACTAAACATTAGAGTCGAAAAGATTGAACAATTGTAGTGAAATCATTTATCAATTATCTTTTATAATATTTATAGTTTGAACATATATTTTTTTTTAAACTTACATTGTACTCGCAAAGTTACTACTGGACTGGTAGTTTCACCTCGGTCATTACTAGCAAGACACGTGTAATTCCCGGCGTTGTCTCGACCTATCTTTTGCAGTACGAGACTCTGAGTACTCATGATTATTCCAGCTGAATAATTTTGCGTTAACACCGCATCCTATTATTATTTAATAATATTATTAATTATTCTTACAATAACTGCTTAAAATAAATTCTTATTAATAACTGGTATTACAACAAGTAAGTAGGTAATATAACAAGTAAGATACTTACGTTGTGCCTCCATGTAATTTTATGGTGTTCTGGGTTAGCCCGAACTTTGCACTCGAAATATACATCGTCACCCTCCTTTATTTTTTCTGCATTTAGGGTACTACCCAAGTGTAATTGTACTTTAGGTGGAACTGTGAAATAAACATGAAATGTTTATTTGAACATAATTACTACAAATTTCGGAGTACTCACAAACTACGTTTAATTGAAAGAAATCTTCTAGATACGCGTCTGGCAGTGATGGGTTTTCTCCTCGGCACTTGAGGATTTTCCCGTGATCGTCGGGAATCGGTGAAAACATGAGCGTACTTAAGACCACGGAAGTATTACCACCATCGATTACCTGAATGATTAAAACTTTCATAAATAAAAATATCATGACATTAATTACAAATTTGTAGCAAAATCATCGACATATACTTTGCCATTGTGATAAATGGTGTTTCCTTCCATCCAGGTAATTCGTGCTCGAGGATGCGATCCTGTTGTCTCACACGTGATGGAGTAGTCTTTCTCCGTTTCTAGCATCGTTGGTTTTAATAAAATTTTCACCGACAGTGGTTTTACTGAAACAATAAAATATCATTATACTATGTAAAATTAATACTTTTTATGATACGAATTTTGAATACCTACGATAAACATCTAGGAGAATAGTCTTTTCTAATGGAGGTATGAGATTTGTGCTCCAGGCTCGACATTTGTAAGTTGTGTTACGATGTTCCCTTCTCAATTGAGGTACTGTTAATTTACTGACGACTAAGTTCTTTCCAATTTCCTCCAACTTACTGTCCACTTCTTTCTCATTGACCAACCAACTAACCACCGGTGTCGGTTTGCCTATGTTTAGAAAACGAATTACAGTTGATCTTCAACAAATTTAATATCATATTTTTAGTATTAAATAATCAACAAAATAAGAATTACCTCCTCTTACTTCGCAAGATAGACCAAACTCGACGCCTACTTGAAGTGGACCTGCGGTATTACCCACAACCACACCAGAGCTGTCGTAAATTAAAAGCTGATAAGGTGGAACTGAAAACAATTTCGAAATAATTCCAAGAACTTTGAAGATATTCTCACGAACGTTAAACGCTTTTTCTATGTTATACACACGAATTCTTACCTATTACAGTGAGGTTCACTTGAAAATTCTTCGTGGGCGAATTTTTGAAATCTACTCTACACCGGTAGATCCCTTCATCGTCCAGTTGAACCGCTTCCAGAGAAAGAGTAGCCGGTTTCGTCACGGTAACGAAGTAAGCTCTCGGGCCAACCACGGTGCTGTCCGACCAATTCAGAGCTTTGTTAAATGCTCTTCCTCGCACGTCGAAACTGAAACAGTCAACCGTTTCAATATACCTTTCTAATTAAATGAAGTTTATTATTTCAAATGAATTTTCTAACTAAATCATCTTTTAATAGAAATAATACCTGTAAATCGGTTTCACGGCGTCATCGCGAAACCAAAGCACCATGTATACGCGATCTTCACGCGTGGACGGTTCAATGTCACAAGGCAATCTAGCGGTGCGTCCAAGAACGGCACTAACTTCAAAAGTTGCGACTGAAAAGAAGATAGATAAAGAATTATATTTTTATTTGGTTTCTCCAGAATATATAGCAAATATATAGGTTGAATTTATCGGTAGTACCTCGTTAATTGTTTGTTGAATAATCGTTGAATAATTTACTGAAATTTAATGTGAACGGTTGCGATCACTTATGAAGTAACGATTCCAGAATATCTATGTACATTATTATTATGTAGCAAGTAGTACAAGTAAATATGTCAGACATGTGGCTGATCAATGTACACGAAATCTACTGAAGGCACGGCAATCTTAAGTATTTGGGACAAATACCTAGCGTCTCTACGTTCTAAGCTATTTCATATTGCTGGAGATCGACTTAAGTAGATGCGACCTATAGTTAGTTGGTCAGACATATATTTCCGACCAATCCTGCATACATCAACAACTTACATAAAATGTTTTCTTTGCAAAACTCTTTTTTCTACTCTAAAAATAATAAAAAAGAAATAATACCATAGGATCATTCATCTGTTTCTTCAAACTTAACTGTCTTAGAATTTTCTATTCTTCTTTGTGAATATTACCCATTCTACTATTCCATTGCACAGCATAACTTTAACTATAACATTAACAACGTACCTAAATCATCGTCCTTATCCCAGTTCCCGGTGGCGTTCACGTACACGACTACAGCAAGCATGTAGCCGACGATGATTAGCTTGATCGTGATATCAATGAGCACCCCTAACGCCATCCCAAGAGGGAACGGTTTAAGGGGTGAGTTCGGTACATTCAGATCCGCTTTTTGCATAATGTCGCCCCGTACCGGCCTGTCCTGTGGTTCTCCTTTATTATCATTCCACGTCGAGAGGTAGACGGCCTCCTCCCACCTCCTCCGTTTCGTGTGCGATGCCCTCGACGAACGTACGATGTCTCGACTCTCTTCTTCTCTCCCTCCTCCTTTTTCACGCTATCTCTCTCTTTCTGGAGTAGTGACAAAGGGACAGGGCGCAGGACACGCTCACCGATTAATTCTGCCGCCGTAGGAACTTTTCGGCCGATTTTCCTCTACCCGTTCTCTGCTTAAAGCGTACATCGAGAACGGATTGTTCGTAATTCCAATGAAT